GAAAATATGTTTATTTTTTTCTTAACATGATTGAGATTCTGTCCTTTATCCTACACAGATAATTTTAGTCAAAATCTCCATTGTCTCAATTATCTAGATACAATATTCTCCATAAGCTAAAAAGAAATCACCAATTCAACTTACTTTCACTTAGTTTGGTTCTATTAATTATACAAATGGAATTTTTTTTTCTGGGTTAGTGACTCCATGCCTATTTTACAACCATGAACATCAGTGGAACCACTACAAATAAAGAGGTAAATTATTTTTTAACAGATTTACCAAGTAAAACTTGTGGAAAAAAACTATTAATGTAGAAGTAACCTCATTTCCTAAGGAAATGTAGTTTGAAAGTGCATTTAGTTTCAATCAATGGTGACTTTTAGGTCCATAATTGAGGTATTTGTTAATATAATCAATTTTGATAATCACTTTCATATGTGTGAAAGGCACACTAGCAAAATAATATTTCCAACCAAATTTTCATTAAATTCTAGGAAAATTGCTAAATGGAAGGAGTAATAACAGATAGGGTTTCCTGTAATTTACTTAAGTAAAAAAATGACTAAAAAATAAAAGTAACATATATCTAAAATTATGTAAAGGTAAAACTGAAATGGTTTTCTAGTAAGAGGTGGGGAATTGGTGGCAAAAGCACACAACAAAGTTGGCATTTCATTTCAGTGTGACAACAGTCTTTTGGACAGCATATTAGTTTAACATTGAACATCCCACCAAAACAGTTATCCATTTCCAAGTGTGTAATAATTCATTGTTGCTCTTCACTGTACATTAAATGTCACCCATCACTGTGACAAGAATATAAAAGCTATTGCACGCTAGTCGGGAGCCTAGATCAAAGCTGTTGATGCAAGCACTTTGGACATGGTTTGCTATACTCAGTTAAACCATCAAAAACACTATGTTGAGAACATCTTTACCTCTGAGTACCAAGAGAAATACAGAATATTTCTATAAGTAGAACTTTCAGTAAGACAATAGCCTTGTCATCTTGTGACCGCCGACCATGTTAGTCTCAAAATGTATGTCAAAACAGTCCTGGTGGTCACTGTATTAATAAACCCTCGAGCAGATTCTAGGTAGACCATCTCCTGCTCTCTAATCCAGTAATACAATAGATGATACTCTAATATTCTAAAAAATTATGCAAAGTAATTCAACCCCACAAAATACAAGAAACTCCTATATTCTTTTTAACCTGGAAAAACTAATATTATGTACTTAACACATTGAATATTCTTTGATTTATCTTTACTAAGAAAGCCAGGTTAGTCAATATCACTTGCCTTCTTTTCCTCTTTTCTTATATTTGATCATATTCACTTGCTCATTTAAGTAGCCTAAGAAAATTCTGTGTAATAGTATTCTTACTAAAAAAAAAAAAAAAAACTGGTATAATATTACTTTTCTTCTCCAGTTTATTTGTATTTAATTTTAAAATGTCAATCTCAGAATAAAATATGCAATATTAGTATAAGCTTAGTGAATTATTACTAAGGTTCCATCAATCCTGTTGGAGGGAAATATGTACAGCATTATGCGCTTCTTTTAAGTCTGGTCCTCAGTTATGCACCTCTATACCAAACTACAAAGAACTGTAGACCAAGATTTACATGCTGAATTTCAAAATAGCTCTGGTCTTGTTAAAAGCAAAAAAAACCCAAAAAACCAAAAAAACAGCTCTAACATTATGGGCATTTAAATTGATTCATTTTTAAAGAGTGTCTACTGCATCAGTTTATCTGTTGTTTAATAAAGGAAATATTTGAAGCAAGGTGAAAAATACCTCTCCTTCTGAGTATAAAGGGTGGATTTCCTAACCAGACTCTTTATATGACTAAATGCTATCTCTGTACTAATATATCTAGATCAAAGGAAAATATAATAGAAAGAGAGAGGGAAAAGGTTTAGGGACAAATATGATTAAGTGCAAGTTTGTCACGTACAAGATTTCTTCCTACTTCTCTGTCAGCCAAGAGCTATGGTTAGGATATCCGGGATAAGGCCATTCCATGTCCAGAATGCCGAACCTCAGGCTCATCTTTACTGTCAAGTAAGAGTTCTCCACTAATTCAGATAAGCATGCTGATTATGTCATTATGCTATAAACAATAATGCAACTGTTCGTAAAAAACCATAGCTTATAAAACCATACCAAGACAAATAAGACCACATATCTCTCAATACTGGTTAAAAAAAAAAAAAAACTTAGAACATTTGTTAAGGCTTTGTTAGGTAATTTTTCTTATGCAATAAGGGTGAAGGGAAATTTTTAAAAGCCATCACAATAACAATCTGCTTTTAAATTTAATTTTAGAAAACATAAATTCCAACAATTATGATCAGTACTTAATTTATTATAAAATTTTGTTGGCATGGTATTATTTTAGAACTTCATGATTTTCAGTGAGAATGAAACACATATCTGAGAATTTTTTTAATGTAATTTGTCTTTTTTCTGTAATCATTATGGAGAATAAAGACAAAAATATACATAGAGATAAAGAAGATGCCACATTTATTTTGACATCAATAATAATGCTAATAAGTTCATCAGTGATCTCTATACGACATAAGATGCAGTCCTCATCATAGGTTAAAAATCAAAATACTATATTTATTTTGAATTGATAACAAAGATCATAATGCCACTTAAATTAGGAAGGTAATTAAGTTCTGCAGTTGAAACTTGGCCATTTTGTCTGCATTTGCACGTCATGAACTTCTTTCATGGTAATAAGAATTCAATACCATATCAGAGTGTATTTTTTTATTGAAGTAAAGTAGATTTTAATTTTATAAAGTTATTTAGCTTTGGAGGTTCAGTTTAGAAGTTAAATGGACTCTATTCAAGAAATTTTCTTTTAACTTGAGTTTTTAGTGTGTGGTTTTTAAATTTAGCAATATTTATACAAGATTATTTTAATACTGAGAATTGAACAAAATATTTCAGAGACAATCTGCAAATGATATGTTTCATATTGTGTATTATTTACCAAAATATCTAATATTATTTCTTACTTAATATAGGATATCTAACATTGTTTATTATTTAGTAGAATATATGAGCATTTGTCCATAAATGAAGATATTATACTTAACTTTTGAAACTGTATGAGACTGTTTTCACATCATTGAATAAGATGCTGAAATAGAATCACTTTCAAGTCCATTCATTTAATAACTAATAATAAAATATAACAGTAATACTCTAGAATTTAATGACACTAAAAAATGGCACACGAGTTAATGTTATATTCTCAAAAAGAATGACATGGAAGTATTTATTCTGTGTAAAATTAGTATGGGTTACAATAATTATACAGATGTTATATTATTATTTTTTTGATGGTTTATCAAACTGAGAGTTAAATAAATATTTTGAAAATTAGATGAGTGCATAGCCAAACCACATGCCTCTATCTGCAAATGTACTTTTAAGCTGGGAAAGAATTCAGATGTTTCAGTATTTGCTTTTGAATGTAATCTCAGAAGATTTGGGCTCAGAAAATTAGTAATATCTGAAATTCCTAATACGAATTTGAGGTAACTCAATAGTCTCTACTTAAGGTCCCCTGGAAACTACAGTAGACTTAATTCAGCTTGATTGATGCCTACACAATTGCCTCAGAATGGTCTCAGGACATTTACCCTTAAGTTTTGATTTTATCCTTCCTGGGAACTTTCATTAATTTGATTAAGAAGGAGCAGATATACCTGCAGACAGGAAGAAAGGCTTTTTGTATACTTTGGAGTATTTATTTTTCTGTCTGCCTGTGGGCAGGCTGTAGAGTTCTCCAGCCATTGAATTATTTAAACTGTAGTCCTTGAACTTGTTTATCTGAAGACATATAAAACAGGATGGTTTATATTGGTCACTATAAAAAAATATGTAACCGATGCAAAGATGTTCAAAAATGAAAAGGTTGTTTTATCTTCACAGATATGGAAAAAGCTGGAGAGCTAAAAATTTATGAACTTCATACTCCAAATTCTCAATTTTGGGGGAAAATTCTAAACTTCAAATAAAAATTTTACCATGATCTACCATTCAGCTACAAATGCTATGTGTACACATTGTTCCAATACAAATTTTCCGCCAAACACAAATGATAATTATCTGAAGGACTCATGTGTTAATATTAAACCAATTAGGTAGAAAATTATGAATTTGCATGGCATTTATACGTAAGTATCAAAAAAAATCGGTGTATAACTATAAAAAGGTACATATATCAAAAATACTATGTTACTTCTAGAAGTGATTTCATTCCCTTTTTAACTGAATGAACTAAGCGTTTTTTTACTGCTAGTAACAAATACATGACTTCATTGAGAACAGGATATGTTCAAGAAATGATAAATATCCTTAGTGGTAAATTTATCAGAAGAACCTATACAATAGCATTGAAAAAAATAACCCTCTTACTTAATATTTAATTTTGATGATAGAGCAAAAAATACTTGTAGTTATACATTATATTTATTTTGTGAAAAAAATGAGAAATTTTATGTGGAAAATAATGGTAGTCTTTTTATAGTTAAAATGCTTATTTTTAATTAGCCCTGGCTCATTAAAAAAAGCCTCCTTTTAAATTTTACCACTTAGGTTTTTTCTTATGACTGATTTATTAGTTCAAATTAGTAAAATACATTATTGTGTTCTCTGGCTCAAGAGAAATCTTCAAAATGAGGAAATAATTTTTATGGACTAATTATTTGGACTGCTTTTAGATGCTGATTAAAAAGAGTAAACTCTACCAAACCTATAGCTTACTGACACAACCAGCATGCATTCTGCCCCAAAAGGCAGCGTAGTATATTTTAATAAGTTATGTGACTCTTCAAAGTTCATTATTCTTCAGTACCCCAAGGGAGATAAAGAAAAAGAAAAGTAAAATCATTGTGACTTTTGACAATTATTAGTTGGAAAAAGGAGGTAACAATTGCCAAAAAAATCACAAAAGTGAGCATGTTACCTGGCTATGACAAAGAGCACACAACTGACACCCAAGTAAGCCAGCAGAATATACATCCAGATATCAGGGGAGAGAGGATTCAGGAAGGAGAAGACGCCTGGGTTTGTACCATTGGGCTTGCGGTACAAAATACTTATTCCAAGTGTCATAAAGGGCTTGGAAAAGTCGATGACCTTCTCTCGAACGTAGGTAATAGCCAGTGGGGCAACTGCAAGGTCAGCTTTCTGTAGAGAGAAACAGAAGAAAAGGGGGGAAAATTGGTTTTAAGTCTCAAGAACGAAGTCAATATCCAAATCAAACAAAACAAATACTTTACACTTGAAAATTGTCTAAGTATTACGTTAACATTTAAAGCATTCTTGACTCAATTAAAGCATCTGCTTTTTCTGCTACTCATTTCTTTGTCCTTCTAGATTAGCAAACCAGAATTTATTGCCATAATAGAGAAAGAAAAAAAGCGCACAGAATGAAAAAACTGAAGAAACTATTGTACATTCAGTACCTGAATTATTATGCTATGGGATCTTATAATTATTTTGAATCTAAACTTAAAAAAACACTTAATATCAGTTATTACTTCCTAAATACCTTGGTCAGATTCTAAATAGTAATAATAATAATATCTACTTCAAATTATTTAGGTGATAATCAAGAAACATGTTTTCCTGGTTATAAAACTATAAAGTACAGTTCAAAGATTTTAGTCTTTAAATAGTTAACATTTTGAAAATCAACTTTTAATGTGATTGTGTTTACTGCCCCTGAGTTCTGTTTCTATCCCTCTAATTTGTTTTCTATTATTTAATGAAAGTCCTTGCAGCTTTGCCTAAATCGCATCAGGAAATGAGTTTTTCAATTTTCACAAAGTTGCTAATTTTCCACGGTAGCTTAAATATGTTAAATTACTAATGCTCTTCACTCATCATGTTATAACCATCTGTCAGGATGAACTTCAACTCCAATATATTGAAAGAAATAATTATAATGTTTTAAAATAATAAAGGCATCTATTCCCATATATGACAGGAAACTATATTTCTACATTCCTTTTATTTTCATAAACACACTGGGATTTCAGAGAATAAATAAGAAGTGCTCCTTGTAGTGAGCTACAGAAAAGTGTACAAAATAACGAAATTGGGCCTCCACAGTTTCCTACCGCAAGGACTGTTGGAGAATTTAAAAAAAGAAATTCTCGAAGAAGCTAACTTTGTTGACAATATTATTCTGGGTATGTGTGTGTGTGAGCATCTGTTTGTTGGGTGTATATGGGGAAGAGGGAGCAGTCAGATGCCTGAATAGAGTATCTTTGAGTAGCAGTGGAGAGAGAAAAACATTTCTCTAAAAAGTAGGAGGGGGAAAAAAAACAGGTCTTTAGGGCCCTGGAGAGGATATCATCATATTTCATATTCATAAATCAAAGAAAATATCAATTTAGCAATCATAATTGTTAATGTCCTTTAAGTATCTGCTATGCAACAGGCACTGTGCTAAGAACTTTACATGCATTGTCACATTTAATCCTTACATAATCCTACTATTATTCCCATTTTCAGGTAAGGAAACTGAATGTATGAGAAGTCAAAAAATTGTTCATGGTCATAGCGCTAATTGAGCATTGGAACCAGGACATAAACACCGAGCTTTTGGAAACTAAACCCAAAACCAACCATGATATGCACCTCAGAAGCCAGAAATGGAATCATGGAAACATTCATTCATTCATTTATTAAGGAGTTCGTAGAGATGGAAAGGGGAATATATAGAAGCAAGGACAGAGATGAATAGATTACAGTCACTGAGAATTTCGAGGGTTAGGTGAAAAGTTTATACAGAATATTTTCCACAAGGAAGAGATAGCAATTCCTCTAAGACAGAAGGGAAGGAAGTACAGATGGTTTGAAAAAGCAAACAAGTTTGTTAGGGAAAGAAAGTAATCATTTAAGAAACAAAGATTCTAGTAAAAAACGGACAACATGAAATGGTGGTTTGTTCCTTTGTAACCTCCCTCATCCTAGGCACATGAAAAGCAAAATTTTACCACATGTAAAGCATGTAAGTGAATATGATTTAAATTGGTAAAATATTTTAAAATTCATGATCAGTGTCAACAAAACTTAGGAAACAATTAAAATAACATATGTTAAGACAAAACTACTACATTATTCTTAAAAAGTTGTTTAATAGGTATGTATTAATATGACTGACTAGACATACACCAAATTTTATTTAATTTTTTTAAAGATTTTGTTTACTTATTTGACAGAGAGAGCAAGAGCACAAACAGGGGGAGCAGCAGAGGAGAAGGAGAAGCAGGCTCCCTGCTGAGCAGGGAGCCCAATGCAGGACTCGATCCCAGGACCCTGGGGTCATGACCTGAGCCGAAGGCAGACGCTTAACCATCTGAGCCATCCAGGTGCCCCAACATACACCAAATTTTAAAGATTTAAAGAGAGAGCACGCACTCATGCATGAATGGGGCAGAGGGGCAGGGAGAGAGAGAATCTCAAGCAGACTCTGCGCTGAGTGCAGAGACAGATACAGGGCTCGATCTCATGACCGACACAGGGCTCAATCTCATGAGATCATGACCTGAGCCAAAACCAAGAGCCGGACACTCAACTGACTGGGCCACCCAGATGCCCAGTAAATTTTAAAATTTACTTAGTATTGCCTAAAATAAAATTTCTCTTCCAAATATAAAATGGAAAAAAAAGACAAAACATTACACAGTAAAATATTTTCAATGATAAAAGAAATCAGTCATTTGAAACAAAAGATAGAGTTTTAGACATTTAGTCAAAGAAAAAATAAATGCATTGACAGACTGTGGTACATTCTTATGACAGAACATTATCCAGTAATAAAACGAAATTAACTATCAAGGTGTGAAAAGACATGGAAGAACTTTAAATGCATATTGCTAAGTGAAAGATGCCAGTCTGAAAAGGCTACATACATATGATATGATTCCAATTATATGACATTTTGGCAAAACTATACAAGCAATAAAAAGATCTGTAGCTGCCCCAAGGACTCAGGGAGCAGAGTGACAAATAGGTGGAACGAGAAGATGTTTACGACAGTGAAACCATTCTGTAAGAAATCATAATGGGTACATGACACTGTGCATTTATCAAAAGCCATAAAGCTGTACAACACAAAGAGTGAAGCCTGATGTAAACTATGGACTTTAGCTAATGTCTCAATAATGGCTCAATTGTAACAAATGTACTACACTGATGGAAGCTGTTAATAATAAGGGGTACTGTGGGCCAGGGGGTAGAATGGAAGAAGGTATAGAAACTCTACTTTCTGCACAATTTTTCTATAAACCTAAAACTGCTCTAAAAATATTTATTTTTTTAAAAAGTAACAGGTTGTTTTAACCATATCCTCAGTTAGTAGTATTTAATGTTATTTTGATTAAATTAATTAGAACTTAGTTGTTACTATTAATAGAACACACAAAACTTATCAAACATCAATCGTCAAAAATAAGTAGTCTCTAATTACACACTAAATATGTTTTTTAAATTCATTTAAACAATCAGACGTCCAGATTATCTTGTAGTAAAGAACATTACTTATACATAATAGCGCTGTCTATGAAAAAATCTAACTTCATTGCAAGTCTATCAATAATATAATAATTTTGAAATATAATCAAGATGCTGTATTAAAGATGCTTATAATGACAGATGTGATATTTTCCCATCAACTGCCATGCTATTAAAGACTAAGCCATTGGAGAAAAGAGCCTGATGGTAAATTGCATAATCCAAGAATTTTTTATCTCCATAGGTAAAGGTTATGATTTCATGAACATAGATTTAGTAACTGGCATTTCATTTTATTTTAAGATTTTAAGTTTTTATTTAAATTCCAGTTAACATACAGTGTAATACTAGTTTCAGGTGTACAATATAGTGATTCAACACTTCCATTCAACATCGGGTGCTCATCACAACAAGTGCACTCCTTATCCCCACTCATGTTTTATTTTAAAGAATACAGAAATAAAGTAATCTTGCATTAGGAAAAGCCAATGGTCAAAATTGTTTAAAAAATCTATTTCAGCCAAAGAAAAATAAATAAGTAAACTTTTATGTGTCATATGAATAGCACAAAAGAAAGAAGAGCTCACTTCTACCTGATCGGGTCGGTGAAGCTTAAATGGTTACACTTGTGTTGTGTTTTGAAGAAAGAGTCTGAGATGACAAAGGTCAGAATTGAGAGGGTGGCAACAGCAGGGAAAAAAAATCTCATTGAAGTGGCTTAAATTAAATGTGTCCATTATGGGCCAAGACCATATTCTTTGCTCATATCACTTCCATTAATCCTCACAACAGTTCTACCAAATTTGTAGTGTGATTTTCTTTTTTACAGATGAAAATCCAGAGTTGTGAGAGCTTAAGGGATATATGGCTCCAAAGATGACTTGACCATACTCATTTCTCACTATTTTTCTGTGCAAATTCATTACTATTTCTTCTGCTTTACTGTTTCTATATTTCCCTGACCAAAATAATCTTCCCTTTCCTTCACTATACGCATTCTATAGGACACATCTCTAGGTCTTTTCCTCTTATGTAGCCCTCTTTGAACAATCCATACACATTAATTTCTCCTGAGTGAATTTTTATAGCACTTTTAAACTTAACCATATAATTGGAACTATATTTATATTGTATTGTTTCTAATTTTTTCACATACAAGTCAACTAATATGAGACACCTGAACATACATATTGTAATTGTGTTGTCCTTGTTATGGAGAGTGTAGGCACTTGGGAACCTGCAGATATGCCCTTCAATCAAAGCATGTAGCTCTGAATTGAGAAAATCATAAAGTATCCCTCCCTGGAAATTTCACAAAGATGGCTGGCCAGCAGCTATCTTATTAATATGTTTTAATTTAATATTATATCATTCTATGGGTAACTCTTCCAAATTGTTTTACAATCATAATAATCAATCTAACATCGCTGGGGCATTGGACAAAATCTGACACCAAGGACCTCCTTGGTAAATGTTTGCTAAATACAGTTTCAACTTACTAAAATACAATTTAAATTACTAAAATTTTCAAAGTAAATCACTCAGAGAATTTCAAAATTAAACTTTTTTACTGATCTTACTCTAGAAATAAGATTTATTTGTACATTAATGTAATTTCTAGTGAACTAATTCATCTAGGGGAGATCAGAATAATTCTTTATATG